TGATATGACAGTGACAGCCGGGGAGCAGAAACCTGTTTCTCTTCTTCAGCACAGCTGCAAAGGGGGTATATACTGTACATATCATGACTCAGAAATGGTTTCCAGATAAAATCCCATTATATGGTACCCGATATGTTAGAGAACCATATCACAGTCTGTACTGCCAGTGAATTCATGTTTGCATTGTAAATATGCAGAATGCAGTTCAGCAGTTGGACTAATCTTGATATGGCTGGATCCTAACATGTACAGTTTCCTAGCTGCTAGTTTTGTTAGGGCAGCCTTCGGGAACATAACAGTCCCACCCACAGATGTCTGTCATGATACAAATGCATACGGCAGTACAAATGGATACAGAAAAAAACAGAAAAGGGAATTGGCTAAACATTTTTTTATTTATTGAAGACTATGAACCAGTGTACTGTAATAACTGTAACCATTTCAATACTTACTTTTTATTACATCACTAACAATTTTATTTGTTCAGTAAGGGTTATTGCACATAGGTGCCAAAATATGAAACATTTTAGGTGTTAAGGCTTTTTTTTTTTTTAATGGTCTGAATGTAGCCCATTGCTTTCAATTGGCCTGTACACAGAGGCATGTAAATGTCAGTAAATTAGCACTGTGTTTAAATAAACATACAAACATCTGTGTTACTGGTCAATATTTTAGGCATGTATGCATGTAAACCACACCCCCTTCAATTCTAGGAGCTAGAAGAATCATTCTGGAATTTTTATGCTTTTATACATACATTTATGTTTCTAAATGCATGTTAACGCACGCACTATACAGACCATACTCACATTTTTTGTGCAGGAACCTTTGACCAGGATGAACCGGCATTAATACATCAGTACTGTGTGCAAGGACACTTAGGCCTCATTTATACATGTGGTGCCCTCTGAAGAGCAATCTGCATTGCTCTTAAGAGGGCATTTGACAAGTGGTGAGTTACATAGTTAGTCTGACTGAAAAAAGACAAAAGTCCATCCAGTTCAACCATAAAAAAAAAAAAGTTATAATAATTATACCTGTTTTAAACCCCGCACCAATGCACCACAAACCACATGCATTGCACGTAATTGCAGGGCATTTGCAGACACCCCCATTCAGTTTAATTGGAGCTGTATTGCCCACCAAATTCGGTATCATAGATTATTTTTGGAGCCCCACCATGCAAAGCATCATATCCATGGGATATGTACACACCCATCCACTGCCTTCACTAAAATCTAATTTACATTTTAAAATAGTTTCAAATGTAATTTTGAATATGCTGCTTTCAGTAAAGCCTATGTGCAACACAAATAGAAAATCAGCACAAGGGACAAAACTTGCAGTCAGTATGATGTGTCCCTTGTGTTGATTCTTCTTCTTTTAGTGTTAATCAATTTCATTTCTGCACCCCCAACCCCTGTCACCGTAATCTTCTGGTGCCAGATATGTCGGTCATAGAAGCAGTACTACAGCTTCTATAAATGACAAACAAACTCTGAATGGAGGGGGTGGAACTATTATAGTCCCCTTCTCCATTTTAGATCCTGTGTCATTCATAGAAGCTGTAGTATGAATGGTGAATTGGGCTGCAGGTCTGGGTGGATTATTACTGAAAGGAGAAGAATCTGTACAAGGAACACATCATACTAACCATGTGTTATGTCCCGTGTGCTGTTTGTTCTGTTTGTGTTTTTGGCTGCACTTAGGTTGGGTTCATTGAATATGAAGGGAAGAAACTGAAGCAAATGAAAATTTTTGCTTGGAATAAAACTTAATGTACAGACACATTCACTTCAGATACTGAACAGTTGTATACTGGTCCCGAGGTCCTAGTTATGTCTCATTTAATAAGATTAGTGATATTAGATATGTATTGGCTAGTGGCAAACTGTTCAATGCAGTAGATGTCATAGAAATAAAAACCCATTTGCCATGTCCCAACATACAAACATACATACATTTGATCTACATTAGGACAGTTTTTTGGTAGATACCATCTATAAGGGATCCACATATTATCTTCCCTCGTATATATTTTTACATATACAGTACATGTTTGAGAATTGGGTAGAGACATTAGTCTTTCCCTATTTTCCACCTGTTGTACATGGGGCTGTTGGTGTGTGCACCTGCAATTAAACTCATTATGTGATGATACATAGATAGATGTTCAGCAATACAGTTATAGATATAATTTTAATGGTCTCCATAAATCATGCAATGTTTTGTAATTGTAATTGAATTACATATAGGTAATTTTATTGATGATGCTGGGTATTTTAATACTTACCATGGTTTTTAGTTGGTCTATATCAAATGTGTTAGACCATTAAAATTTTGATATTTGTAAAATACAGTTCACGTTTGTGTACACAAATTTTGGGTTAAGTTGATATTTTAATTAGTTATTGGGGTTGTTGAGTCCATACCTTAGGCTCTTTTTTTTCTGTCATTTACTGTTATTTATTTATTATTTATTAGAAGTACTTATATAGCGTTGTCAATTTACGCAGCACTTTACATGTGTGTGTGTGTATATATATATATATATATATATATATATATATATATTGTACATTCATATCACCATTATGACCATAACTGACCTGATCAATACCATGGATGTTGTATTAGATTTTAATTTTTAAAACAAGGCCATAGTCACAGTTGACATGGTTAATAAAGTTTTTTCCAGAATATATTTTAATATAACCACTGCCCAAAACCACATCAAGCATGGGTCTTTCCCCTCCTGCAACCCTTTAATTATTAATTTAATTGTATCCCAATGGTTGAGTGCCTTTACCTTGAACCCTGTACAAGTGTGGTTTAGATTAATAAAGGATACAGACTTCCAGGGCTTTTTTCCTCAGTAAATAGATGCAGGAACTCAACCATGACCCTCCAACCCCCCCCCCCCCCCCAACACACATCCTCCAAACTGCATTTGGGTGTGGTCAAATTTCACTAACAACGGGAGAGTCTTAAAACTGCATTAAATACCAGGAGTGCATTACATATAGAGTGCAGAATTTGGAGGGTTTACACAGAGCTCAGGGGTGTGCTATGTGCAGAGTTTAGGGGAGCACTATGTACATAGTACAGAGTTCAGGGGTACACTGCATACAGTGTGCAGAGTTTAGGGGTGTGCTGCACACAGCATGCAGTGTTCAGCCTTCTTCCACAGCTTCTTACTTTTGCATCCCCCATCCACATCTCTTCAGCTCTAATCTCCGCATACAACCTTCCTCCACTGCCAAATCTTCTCCCCCCCCTCCCTTAAAGCTCCACCATCTTCTACATGTCTTACGTTTGTTGCTGTATTAAGCTGAAGCACCCAGTTGGCTCTACTACCTCTCCGCACACTGTAGGTGGCTCCTTCTCTCTCACTTGCAGGGAGATCATCCAGTGGGGTGTCGGCATCCACACTGCATCGCGGGCCCCAGCATCTTCCTTGTTCCCATCCTTCAGTCAGTGGGAACTGCTCAGGAGATCAGATTTGTGGGAGCCGTTGGAAGACAAATTGTTACTTGTAAACACAGAACTTTGACTTCTGTGTTTACAAGTGATAGTGGTGAGCAGGGAGAAGAGGGCCTGAGCCGGAGGAGGTGGAACGGAGTTCCACCAAGTTCCAGCTGAAAAAAAGCCCTGCAGATTTCTGATATTCTTGTTATAATCAAGTCATGTAGGGTTAACATGTCAATAAGAAGAAGGGTCAGCCGCACACCGGAGGATCGATGAGTATAGTGTATATTTATTGGTCCATAGAACACACAAAACACCAGGACATGGATACAGGACCTGTTAATGTGTTTCACATGATCTCATGCTTAATGATTAAGCACGAGATCGTGTGAAACGCGTTAACAGGTCCTGTATTCATGTCCTGGTGTTTTGTGTGTTTTATGGATCAATAAATATACACTATACTCATCGATCCTCCGGTGTGCGGCTGACCCTTCTTCTTACTGCATCGTGTGTGGTGGTGAGCCAGAGCCTGCACCTGTCATGGTTTGATCTGGATTGTTTGCCTGATCGGTATACCTCTGTTCTTAGGGTTAACAGGTCAGACATGGAATGTATTCTTTTTTTTTTCACACAATTTTATCAAATGCAGCAAAATCTCTGTGGCAGATGAATATTCAATCTCTTTCTGCCCTGGAAAAAGGTACAATCCACCCACAACAGTATGTGCCTCTTCCACATGTTTCCAAGTCCAGGATCCTGAAAGCATGCAGCACAAGCAGTAGTGGATATTCCAACAATCCACCATTCCCAATGAAAGACTTGCTCTTCTATTGGAATACCACTTGCAAAATAGTTAAATATCCATTTTGTGAGGACATTGGTGAGCTGCATTATCTACTAATTTGAGGCTCTAAATGTAAAGTCTCCCTGTACTAGTCTATGCTCCCTTCTAACAAGGCCAAAAATGTATACCACTCAGCTGTTTATGCTACATTACAGAGAGACCTATACACCATAGTTGGCTTTGTAATGGCTGTGACACGTGGGCTGGGCAAAGATGCTATCTTATTGACAGGACACCAGAGCAATAAAATAAGGTAAATATATGACTTGCTGCAACCATTCACAAGTGTAATATCCATTTTTTATACATTTATATTTGGACATTTTCTCCTTCATCTTGGAATCCAGCTTTGCTTTACATAAACTATCATTATAATAAGTGTATCTAGGTGACATGGCAAACAAAACACAGCATAATACAAATCAGATCTTGTTTATTATGTTGTTTGAATTAAGGTTTGGAAAAACAGAGAGTGCTCCTACTGTACATGTCCACATGGTTACTATTACAAACAGAAATGAATGCATTCTTGCTTTTCTAAACCAGAAAGAAGCACTAAGATATATTTCTCATAGTTTTGGCTATGTTGTTATTGTATCATTTCATCTAATCAAAGGAATGGCTGGTGTAATCTGCAGAAAAAAAAATAGACTGTATCACTGCCAGAAAAGATGTTACAGGCTTTCTAAACTCTCAGTCCTCTTCCCATCAAGCAGGCAAAGACTGTCATGACCATCTTTGGTTTCACCTCCACGAGATCTTCTGGCAAAGCGTAGACCCTTGCTCCAATCTTTCTTGCCATCGAAACAGTGTATCTGAACAAAAGAGGAAGATAGTGTACAATATGTGCTGCAAAGTATTACAGGTCATAGCTCTATTTTAGCCTAGTTGCAATTGCTTTTTCATTATTCATGGAAAAAGCTTTAACACCCCGGTCACATCGGGAGCGACTTGGCATGCGATTTGCATGCCATGCGACTTGCAAATCGTATGACAAGTCGCATCCTATTGTCCACTATTAGAGCGGTCATATCGGTGCGGTTCCAACTTAGTCGGAGGTGCACCGATTTCTACTTTTGTTGCGACTTGCATAGATATCTGTGTCAGATGTCTTGCAAATCGCAACTGAAATCGGCAAGTCACCTGATTTTAAAATTGTACGACTTCACTGTAAAATCGGCTTTGATGTGACCGGGGTCTTAAGGATAGGACTCCATAGGAATCCAAATCATTGTAAGATCTCCTGACTCGGCAAGCTTCATCTTAAAGGAAGCTTAGGCAAAAATATGTAAAGTAGGTTACCAGTGCTGACCCAAAGTAGGTTACCAGGGCAATGCTGGTAAAAATATGATAATGTTAAGTCTGTTACATTAGCCCACATAGGCAGTTCTCATAGGTAAACTTTCTTTTTATTTATTTTGTTCTACGGTGCCTCTACTGCCTTCACATAGTTACGCCTCTGTATGGAATTCTGTGGCATATGGTCTCCAGAACATTTTTATTTTTATGGCTGTAAACTTCTCTTATCTAAGTTAAACCTCCACTACCCATCCTGAATCAATTAGCACTAATGGCTTCAGTCATAAAAGAGATGATATCCATTTTTACAAGGATCTATCATTATCTGTAGATTCTACTGCTGGGAAGTCAGTTCAGGAAGGATGGGTCTTTGGTGCAGAGGATCCCAGCATAGGAGAGATGAGTATGCAAACAAAGGGTTAAGATTATATAAGGGAAGGATAGTATTAGGGTTACAGGGAAGGTTAGTGTTAATCTGGCCATAGATGATGATTTTCTTTCCTGAAACCATGCATTGCAGGAAAGAAAATCACTTGATTTCTCCATCAGCACAATCAGTGTTGATGGGGGAATATATCCCACAGAGCTAATGTGTTCTCCCAGTGGGGAGGCGTGGGAAGGAACCTTCTTGCTTGGAGAACACAGTGCTAGGAGCTATAGCCCCTGGAAATAATTGCATAAAAAAAAAAAACAGACTGATTGTACCCAAGTCATACAACAATCAAACTGGGTACAATCAGCCTACCAATAGATGGTTCAAATCTCGACCAGTCCCTGCTGAACAGCGCGGGATTCATTTATGGCTGGCTTTTGGGGTATGTTTACAGGATGGGTTAGGTTTATGGTTGCAGAGTGGATTAGTGTAAGGGTTATGGTTGCAGGTACGAGTTAGTGTGAGGGGCCAGGAGCCATAGGGTAGGGATCTACAATGAACACTGTCAGCGCCAATCCTGCAGTGCTGAAACTTAATGTATCTGTGATTCAAAACATTAACAATAACATATAAAGCCATTTATAACTCTGCCCCAAATTACATCACCAATCTTGTCTGCAAATATCACCCAAACCGTACTCTCTGCTTCTCGCATGACCTCCTGCTCTCTAGCTCCCTTGTCTTCTCCTCCCATGCTCATCTCCTGGACTTCTCCAGAGCTTTCCCATCCTCTGGAACTCTCTACCCCAATTTATCGCCTACTCTGCTCACTTTTAGGTGATCTCTGAAAACCTATCTCTTCAGGGAAGCCTATCCTGCCCTCAGCTAATAATGGAATCTTCTACTCCCTCCTACCAGTCCACCCCCCACAGTTACTACCTTTTGTACCACTAGCCCCTCCCTCCTAGATTGTAAGATTCAAGGACCCTCTTGTATTGAACTGTATTGTTGCTGTATTGTCTCCCGTTATATTGTAAAGCTCTGAGCAAACTGTTGGAGCTATATAAATCATGTATAATAATAATTATTATTATTTGTATTTCATGCATTCCACGCTGCTATCTTTTGTTTGAACAAAAATTAAAGAGACACCATTTAGAGAAAGTACCTTTGTAAGGCTTCTCCCCCAGAACCCTTGATCCACACCTTTCCATAGGTCCCTCACCATTCCTGCCTCCATTGCAGCAGCGACCAATACATGATGTTACCTTCTCCCATGTGGCAGTACTTGGGTCTAGCAGCAATTCGCTCAGGGTGATGTCATCACTACCCTTATCATCCAGCTTCGGATGTCAGGGATTTTATTGCTGGTTGCAATGGACACAGGAGCAGTGGGGGAGTTCTGGTAGTGCTGGTACAGCAATATCAGGGCTTGGGGGAGGGGGGTTACAAAGACACTGTTCACTTTACCCTGAATGGGCAGGATGACAGTGAGGGGAATCAAATCAGCTGTTGTGCTACTTTTCTGGTGTTAATCCCTCTTGTTAATGTATTGTGGCAAATTCATGACGCATATTGATTCTAACACTTTTGGTTCTGACAGCAACTCGCACATCAAAATGAGCTATTTTTACATTGTAGTGCAATGCACCAAATTCAAAACCAAATACCGAAAGCTCATTCAAAAGCGGAGGAAATTAAAGTGTTACTAAACCCACAACAGTAAAATCTGTCTATATATGCAGTAAAGTCTGCTTGTTATACTCTCTGTGGAACCTAAGGGGTTAATCCTCTGCATTGTGCAAAAAGGCTGTTTGATCCTGTCTTTTCTGTCCCTCTTCTTGAGTTTTTTAACCCCTAATGCATTCTCTGCTTCAGGGAAAAAAGTTTCCATGATCAGCCCTCTCCAGCTCCCCTTCTTAAATACCTCAATCCATAGCTGTGCCTGGCTGCAGCAATGCTTGTCTTCTCTCCCTCTTTCTCACATTCAGAGAGACAGCATTTGGCTCCTGCTGTCAATCAAATAATATGGGGCGGAAGCAGGGGGCAGGACCAAGACATGCTGTGTGTGTTTATAGATGTACACAGGCTGGCTCAGGAGCAAGCCCACATGAGTGCCCCTATAGCAAGCAGCTTACTATGTGGTCACTCAGAGAAGAGCAGGAGCAGACAGTGTCGGTGGATGACCCCACAAGACGTGGTTCAGGGCCACTCTGTGCACAGAACAGCTAAGGATAACATGTTTATTACTTTAATTAAAAAAAAATATAGTACCTTTACAACCAGTTTAACATGAAGCAAGTCATTTTGCGATTGACTGCGACATACTGTATAGATCAAAATATACTTTATTGGCATACATACTTGGCGTTGTTCAGTTTCTCATCATCATTTAGGTCTTCTGTCTTCAGAATGTCATAGTTAATTGAGCCAGGTTGAATTGCATCAATTAAGTCCAGTACAGGCAAACTTGTGCTGATCTTAGGGTCCTTTTATAAAGAAAAGTTAGTTATCAGTGAAAATACATATTTTTATGTATATGTTTCATATATTCATATTTTCTGTACTTGCTCTATGATTAAGCCATGGTTCACACTGAATGCAACGTTGAAATCGTGCTACATCATTTGGAGCAGTGTGATTTCAAAGCTGCAGATCAGTGTGATGTACCTCTGATTTCACTGCTGTTTGCGACTTAATTTAACAGAAGTCGATGAAAGTCGGAATGAAATCAGAAAAAAGTAGTGCAGGAACTATTTTTTGAAATTGAGCTACTGCTAATCACACTGATGAAGACAGTGCCATAAAAATACATTAGATGCGACCTCAGGTGCAATTTGTAAATCGCATGTCACACCTGAAGTCGCACATGTGTTTGTTTTGCTGAGTTATTGTTCTTTGCACTGTCTTATTAACCACTTGCCCTCCTGAGGATTTATCTCCCTTCATGACCACGGCATTTTTTTTGCATTACGGCACTGTGTTATTTTAACTGACAATTGTGCAGTCATGCAACGCTGCTCCCAAATGAAATTTACGCCCTTTTTTCCCACAAATTGAGCTTTCTTTCGGTGGTATTTGATTGTCTGTGTGTTTTTTAATTTTTTGTGCTATAAGCACAAAAAGACTCACAATTTTGAGAAAAAGAAACAATATTTTGGACATTTTGCTATTAAACATGTCCAGTAAAAAAATTTAAAAAATCAAATTTCATCTTAAATTTAGGCCAAAATGTATTCTGCTACATGTCTTTGCTAAAAAAAAAATACAAATAAGTGTAAATTAATTGGTTTACGTGAAAGTTATAGTGTTTACAAATGGCAGTATAGATAACGGGATTTTTTCTTTCTACTAATAATGGTGGCAATTAGTGACTTTTAGCGGGACATTCTGACACTGGGGGGAACTAACTTGGTGTCACTGACACCCCAGTGACACCACTACAGTGATCAGTGCTTAAAAAAAAAGCACTGACACTGAACTCATGACACTGGGCAGGAAGGGGTTAATGTGAGGGGTGATCAAAGGGTTAACTGTGTGCTGGAAGTGTTTTACTAGGGGGCGGGGGGGGTGTTTCGTCACTGTAAGCACACTGATCGAGATGGCTGTACTGTGCACAGCCATCCCAAGCAGTGTGCTTGAGCTGACAGGGAAGAAGATTGTTTGTAAACAAAACAATCTTCCTTCCCATCAGAGATGATCGGTAATCGCCAGGCGCCGGTGGGTAGTTACCGGCCGGAACCCAGTGATTGACATCCGAAGCTGCGAATGGCGGCGTGGGTAGGGTGCGAGCGCCCCGTACCCGGAAATACAGAATGACGTATATATACATGATCCTGCACACAGGTGCAGATATACTGCTAAAGGGCGGTCCTAAAGCTGTTAAATATGCCTAATAATATAAAAAAAGGAAAAAAAAACAACCACCAAACTTACACTTCAGTTTAACCTTTAGAAACTGCAGTGTGAAAAAATATAAAGATAACATTTACGGCCCTATTTTTAAAGAGGACACAACACTGATCTTATATTGTTTTTCCAGTGAGCATTTAATTTTTTGTGTCCTTTAATGCATTTAATGGTTTGAGTCCCCACCATCTCCTGAAATGTCAGCACCTGGCTGAACCATACCCAATAATAAACATATCCATTTTCAGATCACCCCAAGAACCCAAATGCAACTATTTTTCTCTATGACTAGGCCTGGCTGATGTACACCATCAGAAAATGCCAGGAACACTATAAGGTCTAAATATTGCTTGGGCTGGCTACCTGGGGCAATTTCTTGTGAGCACCAGAATAGCACAGTGAAGACCTGTGCTCCAAAACATTATAAAGCACTGCCTGCTGAACACCCCCAGATACACAGAGATTTATATAAATATAGAAGTCATTTTAGTCCACAAAATAACCATAGTTCAGCTGCCTTGCAAGTGTCCAAAGGTACAGAACTCTACCACATAATGCCTGATAAAAACACAATGCAGCTTTTAAAAAATAAGTCAAAACTAGGCAACCTAAGTCCCAAAGGCCATCAACACCACCATAATAATAAATACAGCAAAGTAATACAATACGGAATACAGAAAATATCCAGGATGTCAGAAATTTATAAAATTAGTGTTATTATTAATTTTACTTTAAGTAAGGAATAATTTGTATTTTTGACAGCCTATAGGAAGGTAGCTTCTGTTTTAAATTCTTGGCTTATATATTTTGAGCACAATACACATGCACATACACATTTTGAAACTTTTAAAAGCTATCCACCAGCCTGTCTTCCTATAGGAATCAAGAGGCTGTGTTTCCACATCCTGCAACCATCATCATGTAATGTTGCTGCTCATAAATAACTTGTTACCTGGTTGTGGTGTAAAACAACATTTAGGTAACCCAAAGAGGCCATTTTTGTCCACTTTCATTGTAGCAGATCAGCGGGTATATGGCCAGCATAAGTGTCTAAAAGTACTTAGGGAAAAAAACAAGCTGCTATATCTTGTTTCCATATCCCACTCTCATGTAAAGATCTGTTGTTCAAAGGTATGACAGAGGAAGATAGATTTGACATTTACCACTTGGCGCATGTAAACAGTTTGTCAAGTTTTACCTTGAAACCAGAGATGGATGATGACTTTCCAGCTTCTCTAAGAGTTTCATTTACCCAGTTGATAATTGTGTCATCATTAACCTTCTGTCCACCTCCTATGTCCTCTAGAATATTCAGTGTATACCTGGAGTGTAAAAACAGTTGCAACATTTAAGGGTATTTACAGGACAGAATTAGATGTCTTGCATGGAACCACATGATTTTTAAAACGGGGGATAAACTAACATGATAAAACAGGGGGATAAACAAACTAAATCCCTTTGTCTCTTCAAGCAGAATCATGACAAAAGGGCAGTTAATAATATTTCATAGGTATCTAGAACCCATTTTCTTTGATTTAAAGCTTACACCAGCACTACATAGCACTGTTGTGTTATAGATTACTGTGTTTACATGATGCTTCTATTGTTATTTTTTGTATTGTATATGTATACATTGCTATTGTGTTTTATGTTTTCCCCCTTCTTTATTGAATTTTAAGGAAAAAATCAGCAACATATTAACAGTATAAAGAATTTGCTATAGTATCATATGCTCATAGAATTTGTGCTTGAAACTCCATCTTTACAATATACACATTGCTGTAGTTACCGTTAAATTATAAGTCACCGGTCACACCGTTGCAATTTAAAATTGCACGATTTGTGTGCAATTTCAGTGCGATTTCAGGTGCAATTTCTGAAGACGTTATTGCTACTTGTGAAGATTTTCAATGATTTCTTGCAATTTGTAGTGCATTTGTAGCTTGAACTATCTTGCTCTGCATGTAATGAGTCTATCTCATATATTAGTTTCACCTTTTAAGTTGCATTGCTGAAATAAATGAACTTTTGCTCAATATTCTAATTTTTCGAGTTTCACCTGTATACTATGTATATGAAATGCAAGAACTACTTTAGAAATCGCGCCGCAGCAAATCGCACATGTTAAGACACTGACATTCACTAAATGCGATTTCAGGTGTGATGACCGGGCACTAAGTCTATCAAAATATCACAATATTGTTGTTATCTCCCTTTTGGCAGTTAATAGATATTGATGTTTGAGACCAAAAAGAAAAAAAAACTACATCTACGAACATTATAGCCAAACGTAGACTTAGGTACATAAATGCAATGGAAGGAAAAGAGGGTGGTCATCGTAGAGGAGAGAAGAGCATTTTCATGTTCAGGAAAAATGAGGGGAAGTAGGAAACAAGGGGGAATGCAAGTAAAGATAGAGAGGAATTTAATAAAATTGCTATTGTCTTTTAAAACCTTTTCACATTGATCATTGCCCCTGTGTCGATTATGGGGGTTATTTACTAAAATTGGAGAGTGCCGAATCTGGTGTAGCTCTGCATAGAAACCAATCAGCTTCCAGGTATTATTGCCTTTATAAGCTTAATTGAACAAGCTGAATTTAGAAGCTGACTACCATGCATGGCTGCACCAGATTCTGAGTGCTCCACTTTTAGTAAATCTACTCCTATAATATAAAGCTAGAAATAAGGCATATAAAAGTACACAGTCTTCAGTGCCTTGTAAAGTAAAAGTCACTCAACCTTTGCTGCAACATAACAGGTATCATCAAAAAATCTTTTGTGCTGTCAGCTTAAACTTCTAATCATTTAATACCTCTAGCCAAAATTGAAGCATTTCAAATATATGTCAATATATTTGGGAAGAATATTTTTTAAATATATTTCAAATCTATTTTTCTTCCATGTGGGATGTGAACATCATTTACCTTGGATCCAACAATAAGAATATCCTCTTCTATGTTTTTCAGCAGCCATCATGTGCATCAGCATGTGCATCAGTTGTATAGAGATGTTTATAAGAAATGTTAAAACTTAGGCTGTGGGCTATTAAATGCTACTGCAAGACCTGGAGGAGAATGTTCTCAGCATGGAACCATTGGATGATCTGATTAATGGATACTGGGGTAAAGGAGATCTCAGCTTAACCATCCTTTTTCTACCAGAGTGTTTTTTATGTGTTTTTTTTTCATTAAAACCCTGCCCTTACGATCATAAAATCAACAATTATACCTTCTCATCAACTGCCATAGCAATGCAAGTGTGAGTGTCCTGTTGCCTTCATGCAGATCCTGACCAGCAATACCAACCAGAGAAAATTTTGCCTTGTTCTTTCCCAGGTCCACAGCATAGTTACAATTTTCAAGCTAGAAATTTTGAAAAGAGTAGAAAACATTAGCTGCATACCAAACTACATAGCTACATGGCTTTAGAGTAAGAATAACAAAGTAGCAGACAATTTTCTCATTCTGCAGCTACTATACTACTTAAAGTGAATAAAAAGCCTAACTACTATTCTTAAAAATGTCCCCCAGCTATTCTGACTACCTTCTATAAAAAAAAATCTCTGCATTCATCTGTTTTAATCTGCTCCAGTCTGGTCAAGTGATCCTGCAGCTCTGGCTCCTCCATGTATTGGAGCACTTAAAAACAGCTGTGAATTAAGGAAGCCATGACGTCACCCATAGGCTCCTATGGCCCTGCCACTATCGCCGCTCCCTCTTTACCACTACAGAAGCCGCTGAGTGATGCAAGAAAGCCGGAGCTGCAGATTCATGTAACCAGACCAGAAGGGGTTTTTAAGAACAGTTATAGTTATTCTTTTCTTGCACTTTAAAATGTAAGTTAGCTCCTTTTGGCATATTTTACCTACAGGTAAGCCTTTAATAAGCCTTTGTGCATGTGTGGGAGTGACGACATTGTGGCCTGGCCAATCAGATGGCCACAACCCGCGAACTCGGAAGGAAGACCGGTTGAAGATGGAGGCCTTGGGGAGCCTTGACAGCACTCTTCTGAAGGGCTTCATTTTTAGGTAAGTCATTCATAATGTGCTAGTAAGCGATGCATACTAGCACATTGTGCTCTTAGCTTGCAGGGAGAAGATTTTTTAGAATTTTTTTTTTTCGTGGTTTACTACCGCTTTAATGCTCTCTTGCTGCCTCTCTGCTAGTTTCAGTAGATTTTTCAAATCGTGTAAAGCTGGCCATAGATCAGGGCTGTCAAACTGGCGGCCCTCCAGATGTTGCGAAACTACAAGTCCCATCATGCTTCTGCCTTTGGGAGTCATACTTGTAACTGTCAATCTTGCAATGTCTTATGGGACTTGTAGTTTGGCAACAGCTGGAGGGCAGCCAGTTTGACACCCATGCCGTAGATGGTTAGAATTTCGAACATTTGTAGATAAATTGTTTATCAGGACATTCTCTCTTGCCATGATTCAACAGATTTTGTTTCCACAATCTTTCACACAGCTTTGTGAATTTGCTGTAGCCACTATTCATAAACAACAGAACCTGATACAGCACAGTTTTATATTATATCATAAATTGCCTATAATATGACAATTACCTTCTTCATTTTTTCTCCGAGTTTAGGATATGGGGGCTTGTTTACTCTGGACCAGTCCACAGGAACTTTGATTTTCTCATAAAGCTGGAATATGACCAATCCATCATCAAGATCGCTACAAAGAAAACATTATTAGATGAGTACTTAGAACAGTGCTTATATTTCCAGACATCACTGATTCCTACACACAGTACATGAAACGCAGGAGAAAAGGCTGCATGTATAGAAAGCACAAACAAAGAGTCACAGATTTCCTGAAAACACTAGACGTGGAATGCAAGAGGAGAGACCTATGAGATACTCCTATCTTAGTACAAACAGTTCACACTTCAGGTTCCAGGCCACCAATGAGATCTGCCAACCAGCACACAGCTCTTCCTCTGGCAGCCATGTCACCAGAGAGATCTGCACTCCAGCTCATGCAGCTCACTGGCAGTTGATCACACTGAAAGAATTATCTAGCCGTAGTATACCACTCATTCTGTAGTATACATTTCATCAGTTAGATCTGCACTGCATTACAAAGATTTACTAAAAACATTTAGGCCCTGTTCCCGCTACTCTGGTGCATTGCAGTGAATTACCATGCATTAGTGCTCACTGAATTATGATACTCTATTATTTTTTTTAATGCACTGTTCCACAACACACAGATGATTCCAATCTGATCATTGTACTGTGTTGCAACACCATGAATAAAGGGTGCATTTGCAAGGTGCAGGGGGTGCCATTCTGAATAAATGGCACTGTAATGCATAGTCAATTATGTGTTAGGCTACTGTGCGGTACATTGAATGACTTACTGTGTTACATCAATGAACAGATGTGAATCTAGCTAAAATGGGAGTCTGTCATGGCTGAACTCCTTTTGAAATTGCTACTTCCCTGGCTTTTTCTGGGTTCAGTGCCATAACAATGAGGCAACATATGAAGTCAGAGCTGATTTGTATACTCTATCCAATTCAGAAACTTGTAAAGCAATGAAGCAAGGTAAAAATCATGTACAGAAGGGGAGGTCATCAAAGGCAACCTATCCCCCCTCTTTTAAAGTGATACTAAAGCTAAAAAACATGTTTTACCCCAAGTCATTCCTTGCATTAAAGTGGTTATACAGGCTAAAGGTTTTTTACCTTCATGAATTATATGCATGAAGGTAAAAAACCTTCTGTGTGCATCAGTGCCCCCAGCCTCCTCATTACTTACCTAAGCCCCATCGCGATCCATCTATGTGAATGACAGCCTTGGCTGCCTCCTCATTGGCTGAGACAGCAAGTCAATGACTCCCGCTGCTGTCAATCACAGCTAGTCAGCCAATGAGGAGAGAGAGGGGGCAGGGCCAAGCCACGGCTCCATTTGTGAATGGACACACGGAGCAGCGGGTGCCCCCCATAGCAAGCTGCTTGCTGTGGGGGCACCCGACAGGAGGGAGGGGCAAGCAGAGCCTGCAGGGGACCTGAGAAGAGGAGGATCCAGGCTGCTCTGTGCAAAACACTGCACACAGTAGGTAAGTATAGACATGTTTGTTATTTTACAAAAAAAAAAAACCTTTAGAATCGCTTTAAGGTTAAAAAGGTTTTCTATTTCTCTGCCCTCCCACTTCCCTGTGTGAAGGGGAACAGAAGGGAGAAGAGATCCAGCACTGTGCACAGCTGCATCTCTTCTCCCCACTCTTCCTCTTCACACAGGAGCCATTGGTGAGCAGACACCATGCACCCCCATTGAAAATGGCTTGCTATTGGGGCATAAAAAGAAGAGGAGGAGCCAAGATCACTGGTGGGGCTTTCAAGAAAAGAAGGATCAGGGTCGCTCTGTGCAATATCATTGCACAGAGCAGGTGAGTATAACATGTTTGTTATTTTTTTTAAATTACTTTAGTAACTTTATTTAACTGATGACTTTTTTTTTTATATAACAAGCTGAAGTTTTACAAATATATGTAAGTATATCTTAATCTTATAGAGTAGAATAGTTACTTGTGAGCCACTAGGGGTTATTTGCTATATGCAAACTATAATACCAATTGATTGCGTGCATAAAAAAATTATTAAATTAATTAATTTCGTGCTTAAAAAATTATTTTAATATTAGATTGCAAGGTACTTCGTACACCCTCTCTAGGTGTGTAAATGTTAACCATATAATCCAATATTGTACCGTGCTCCAATATATTCTACCTCATGTGATATATTGAATACCTGTGTGTGCCACCAATTAACAAACAATTTCATCAAGCAGAAATATTTAAATCCATCATTTGTGTAAATATAAAAGAAACTGAATTTCTATAAATGTGAAAAAACGAAGAATAAAGTGGGAATGATAGTTCTCCTCTATATGAATTGAGATGGTATTATTCAGACTGGATTGTATTATGGATCTGTGTCCACTGCGTGAACCTCTCTCTCCTCAGCACAGCCTTCTCAGTAAATCTTTCTCCGCTGGCTGCTTGGCTTAATCCTCCATATATGGAACATGAAAAGAAGGGAAAAGAAACATAGTGTCTTATCCGGGATTTCAGTTGTTTAATGTGCTTTGATTTCCCACTCACATTGTAAAAGGTAAAGTAGCGCTTTACATAAAATGTATCCAAATCGTATTATGGTCAGCCTTATAGGTGTGTCTGCCTTCAGTGTGTATACTCACCGTTCCTCTGTGGATCCATGATGACGTCACCGCCCCTCCCCTACGCGTTACGCTACAGGGACTCGTAGCTTCCTCTGGGGGATGTAGTTTTGCATGCCATCATGCACAGAGTCAATTTATATCCTGCCGGCGCCATTTTTGCTGTGATTTAGTGACTACTCTCTATTACTCCTCCATTACTTTGGAGTTCAACTATATCTCAATCTCGTAAATAATATACATAATCTCCACTCTATTGTGTGGATTCAAGATGCGCATCAGCATCCTACGGCTTTTTACTCAGTGTTTGCATCCACACCCTTCACAATTTGAATTTCAATCTTATACTCTATCATTAACATTTAAAATTATCATAATACAATAAACATCTGTTAATATTAATCCCAATTTTTATACTATATCTATATTTTATACATTTTTATTATATTAAAAATAAATATTAAAAATAAATACTATTAATTTACATTCATTATTAAATGTTCTTCAATAATCACACCTTGAATTCAATTTAATAAAATGCCAAACTTTATAAAAAACAGTAAAATTAAATTAAAATTAAAAAAAAAAAAAAAAAAAAGAGAAAAGGAAGAAAATTTAATTTTAAATTTAAAGTGTTAAGGAATGTTTAAATTTAATTTTATAAGAGCTAAAAAAATAAATAAAAATAATACTTTAAAAATGTGTTTACACACAAATCAATAAATTATATCTTTATCATTAACCCATCTATATCTCCCTCCTATTATTATGTTCAATATTTGAAGTGTATTCATTTGCTCCTTATTCTTTCTAGTAATATTAATAGTCGCTCAGGAAACAAGCCAGATCAAATTCCTTATTTAATCCCAACGGATACAAAGAATTAATTTGATAAATCCACTGGGATTCTTTCTTACTTATTTCTCTAATAAGATTATCTCCTCTCCAGTGTGCCTTATGCTTTTCTATTCCCCAAAATTCTAGACCTTCTGTTTTTTGTTCATGATATAGTTTAAAGTGTAATGATACATTATGATATTTATATCCTTTTAAAAATATTGCGAACATGCTCCTTTATACGCTCTTTTAGCATGCGTTTAGTTCTTCCTATATAGATTTTATTACACGGACATTTTAGTGCATATATTACCCCCTTGGTGTCACACGATATAAATTGTTTTATCTTGAATGTTTTACCATTTATGAAATTAGTAAATTGCGTTCTATTTCTGGGGTTGTTTTTTACTCTAGTGCAGCTATAACATCTTCCACACTTGTAGAATCCAACTCCCTGAAAAAAAGATAGTGAGTTTTGTTTTTTGGGTGGGTCCAATACATTCTTCACTACTTTGTCTCTAATATTTGGGGCCTTTTTGTAAACAAACCTTGGATTATCAGGAATGCTATCTTTTAGGTCTTTATCCAACCTTAATATATCCCAGTGCTTATTTATTATTTTTTGCACATCTTTATGTTGCTTATTGTATGGCATTATAATAGTCATAGCATTATCCATACTGTTATTATTCTGTCTGTTTGTTAGTAATTTGCTTCTATCTAGTACTCCTACCCTGTCTCTTTCTTCTGTTATAAACTCTTTTTTGTACCCTTTGTTGATGAATCTCTTTAGAAGAATGTCACTCTGTTCCTGATAGTCTATATCATGTGTGCAATTGCGTCTCAGTCTCATAAACTGCCCTCTGGGTATGTTCTTAATCCATGATTTATGATGGCAACTATGGGTGGGTATGTATGAATTTCTGTCTGTGTTCTTAAAATAATTTTTTGTAGAAATATGTGATCCCTCTTTCACTAGCCATATATCCAAAAAGTTAATAGTTGTATTGCTGCTGTTCCAGCATAATGTTATATTATGATGATTCTTATTCAATTCTGTATAAAAATCAGCTAGTGAAGTTTCATTTCCTTTCCATACCAAAATTATGTCATCTATATATCTATAGTATGCTATAAGTTCTTGTTTTTGATTGTTGAATATTGTGTTGAATATTGTGTAGTTTGGCATTTTATTAAATTGAATTCAAGGTGTGATTATTGAAGAACATTTAATAATGAATGTAAATTAATAGTATTTTTTTTAATATTTATTTTTAATATTAATAAAAATGTATAAAATATAGATATAGTATAAAAAATTGGGATTAATATTGACACATGTTTATTGTATTATGATAATTTTAAATGTTAATGATAGAGTATAAGATTGAAATTCAAATTGTGAAGGGTGTGGATGCAAACATTGAGTAAAAAGCCGTAGGATGCTGATGCGCATCTTGAATCCACACAATAGAGTGGAGATTATGTATATTATTTACGAGATTGAGATATAGTTGAACTCCGAAGTAATGGAGGAGTAATGGAGAGTAGTCACTAAATCACAGCAAAAATGGCACCGGCAGGATATAAATTGACTCTGTGCATGATGGCATGCAAAACTACATCCCCCAGAGGAAGCTACGAGTCCCTGTAGCGTAACGCGTAGGGGAGGGGCGGTGACGTCATCATGCATCCACAGAGGAACGGCGAGTATACACACTGAAGGCAGACACAATTATAAGGCTGACCATAATACGATTTGGATACATTTTATGTAAAGCGCTACTTTTTCTTTTACAATGTGAGTGGGAAATCAAAGCACATTAAACAACTGAAATCCCGGATAAGACACTATGTTTTCTTTTCCCTTCTTTTCATGTTCCATATATGGAGGATTAAGCCAAGCAGCCAGCGGAGAAAGATTTACTGAGAAGGCTGTGCTGAGGAGAGAGAGGTTCACGCAGTGGACACAGATCCATAATACAATCCAGTCTGAATAATACCATCTCAATTCATATAGAGGAGAACTATCATTCCCACTTTATTCTTCGTTTTTTTCACATTTATAGAAATTCAATTTCTTTTATATTTACACAAATGATGGATTTAAATATTTCTGCTTGATGAAATTGTTTGTTAATTGGTGGCACACACAGGTATTCAATATATCACATGAGGTAGAATATATTGGAGCACGGTACAATATTGGATTATATCTTAATCTTAAGAAGCCTATGAAATCCCTTTTTGTATGACAAGGTAAAAGGCATTTATTGGCATTTATTCTTACCTGTACAGATGATTTACACGGGGGTTCACACCAAGTGAATTCATCCAATTCCTGAATGTCCTTTCTTCTCTTGTCTCACCTTTACAATAAAAATAAATAAAAGTTGAACACAAGCTTATAAAATGTGAGTAATACTTTTTATTCATCAGAAAATTATACAATATTATCATAAACTATGAGACAAAAACGTATGTTTGGCAAAATCAGACAATATATTTTCCTCTGTGCTTTCTCTGAACTCCAAGCAGATATAAAAACTCAAATAAATACATTTATTTATTCATTAAAAATTATTTTCATTAAATATGTTTACATTTATTTTACAATGCAACTAACACAGGTACCTGCATTTGTCTTGATATCAGCTATGTTGTATCTATATGTGCCGACAGGGATCATGCTGACAGGAGGAGAGAGCAGAAGGAACTAAAAGACTGCTCAAAATTAAAGTGTTACTAAACCAAGAACCTTGCGTTTGCTATATCTGGTCTCTAACAGTACACAAAACATGGAAATGCAATTGTTTTAGTAAATATAAACTGCTAAATACCTTTTCTCATCAGCAGTAACATGCACCTTCCCCAAAAAAAAACAAAAGCCAAACCTTTCTAGCAATACACACCAAACTGAGCATGTACAGAACACCTCCTAGAGCTCTGTACTTTCAGCAATTAGATTGGGGACAGTGTAAGAAAGGGAGAATCGGAGAAGATTGGATCAAAACAGCCTTCTTACACAATGCAGAGGATTAACCCCTTAGGGTATAACAAGCATGCTTTACTGCATATACAAACTCATTTTACTGTTGTGGGTTTAGTAACACTTTAAGCAGTTTGTCTCAGGAAAAACAGCTCCAATTTACTTCAGTTATGTACTAAAGTTCAACTTTACGATTACGCAGGGGTTTCATAAATACTGACTATAAAAGACAAGCACATATTCATTTATAGTGTTGAATATCAAAACAAAACAAAAAGGTTTAATTGAAGTATTCTAGGAATTTCTATATAATTGTTGCTAGTACCTTCAATTGAGCTCCAGTCAATATCTTGGTTTTCTGGCTTTTGTAAGGCTGGGTATTTGTTAAACAAGTTGGCAATGAAAGCCAAGTTAAGCTTTGGGTTTCCACGTACAACATCTGTTGCTGTGACAAACTGGCGACAGCCCAGCCGATCTGCTTGTACCAGCATGCATTCCGCTCTCTTCAGGTCTTCTTTTTTCCTGTTAATAGTGATAGAGGTGAAATAAGTACTAGTATGCTTTTAAAACTTCTGGATATTGGAATTACATGTTTATACTGCTTTTGTATTTTTACATATATATATATATATATATATATATATATATATATATCCTAGATTGTAAGCTCGAAACAGCAGGGCCCTCGAACCCCTTGTGTATTGTATTGTTTCTGTCTTGTCTCATGTTCTGTCCCCCTTGCTACTGTACAGCGCTGAGCATACCCTTTGGCGCTATATAAATACTGTATAATAATAATATATATATATATATATTATATATATATGTAAATACATTTATGGCTGGTTCACACATGTGACTACTTTGCAATTGACAGATGTCACAACTTGCTTTTCTGCATTTAAAGGATAAATTCATCTTTTAACAAAAAAGGATACATTCACTTTTTTTGCAGGTAAAAAATTTGCATTTATTATTTCTTATTTTTTGTTTATGGAGCCTCTAAAGCATTGTACCAATGATCAATAGATCGCTGGTGCTATGCAGGTCTCCCCCTAACCTGTCAGTATATCTGCTTGCTCACACAACCCAGATGAGCAAGCAGACAATACTGACAGGAAGGCTCTGTGTAAACTACAAGTTGACAGCCGCAAAGGCTGCCAGGACTTGTAGTTTTCCCATTCACAGAATGCTTTGAATGAGTGATGTGGCCGGGCAGGCTGAGCCCTGCACGGCCATGTTGTTAAAACGTGTGACAGCTAGAGAGGTAGCTGATACAGTGGCCATCGGGGGGAGGGGGGGTGTGGGGGCCAATTAGATCGTAACATGGTGAACTTATCCTTTAAACTATGTGCAAATTACCCAACAGTCCACAACTAAAATATAAAACTAAAAATACAACTTTTACTAGTCTGAAAAGGTGAATTCTGAGGAAATTGTACAAAGTTGTTCCTAGATATACCTTCCTGTTTATAAATGAATGAGCTGTTTACATTTCTCAATATCTGGTGTAAAATTCAGCCCTCTTATCCTGTGCTTAAAATTATTTTGGCAATAAACTTATGTATGAAATCCAAGACTTACAAAATTACAGAGCAGATGGTCATTTAGAGACAGTTAAAGGTATATTGTGTATGCTGCAAAATATCTACTCTACCTGCATAGTACTCAGCAGCATGCTATGTCATATTATTATTAATACTCATGAATATTTAAACCTGTACAGAAGACATAATGAATTCTAAGTGAGGTACCATACAGCTATAGAAACATAAACAACACCTCCTGTGCTCAGGGACCCAGATCAAGGGTGGATGGGTGGGAAGACCACTTGTGGTAGTTCATCCACTAATAGATCAAAGGTTGTGCAGCTCTTAACATGGCTGGGGAAGCCCAACCAGTACTGCAAAGTAAAACAAAAAGAGAGTGCACCAACCTTGAGCATTACCTCAATAAAACTGTGATTTTATTCAAATGAAATATATGCTCACAAGCAAAGAAGTAAAACAATGGCATAGGATCCTCAAAGGAACATTGAAGTACAAACCCAGTGCAAGTCACATCAAGAGGGGAGACTCTCAAAGTTCCGTTGACACATTTCGAAGGGGGTCCCTTCTTCCTCAGAGGTTAGCTCTGAGGAAGAAGGGACCCCCTTCGAAATGCATCAGTGGAACTTTGAGAGTCTCCCCTCTTGATGTGACTTGCACTGGTTTTGGACTTCAGTGTTCCTTTGAGGATCCTATACCCTTGTTTTACTTCTGTGTTTGTGAGTATATATCTCATTTTAATAAAATCACAGTTTATTGAGGTAATGCGCAAGGTTGGTGCGCTCTCTTTTTGTTTTACTTTACCATACAGCTATAACCTGCACTAATCATAACTGAAACCTAATATCAATTTAAGAACTTTGGTTATTAGAGATAAACATGTTTACCCTAAGTCCGGTCATATCAATGTCAATTGCAGGAATGCCCTCTTCATTTCCTTTTGGAGCAATCTGACTAATCAGGCTGTAATAAGCTTTGGAGTCCTATGGTGAAAGCAAACAAAAATTGAAACAAACAAATTGACATCACTTATCAATACAACATGGAATGAAAATAGATAAACAGTAGAACTTGAGAAGTCTCCAACCAGTGGTTTGAAAACCAAATATATTTTAGTTGGGTATGTAATTTCATATTACATTTAACAGCATTGCAACAGGTGCTTGATCATATGCATAAAGCCAGACAGATCTATTTAATTCATGAGTGGACACTAGTCCTATATTCAGATAGACCTTTGTCGCTGCCCTTGCTTGTCCTGACCTCACTTGTCTCACTCTGCCTGTCTTGACCTTGCTGTGCTTCCTTAATGCATTATTTTCTCAGAGCTCCAGTTTTTATCTGTCTACTTCCCTGACTTTGCTTTTTGTCTTTTTCTTTAGCATTGTTTATTCCCAGCAGGCTTCGAACCCGGCTATCCCACAGATCCCTCTTTGTGCACCATTTTGCTAGATTACCCTGTTCCAACCAATTCATAAATTTACTGATCCCCAGCTAGCCAAGACCTGTCACAGTGGGGCTACAGCCACCCAGTACAGGCTGTATAATCTTTTACATATATTCCTGGAGGAAAACGAGTGTCAGTATATACATATAACTTTTTCAAAAGATGGTTTTCAAAGGTGGGAAGCAATACAGCAGTGGATATGGGACTAAATTAGTACTTAGCACTGTATAGATGTTCTGAGGTGGTGAATGAATACCAAATATTAGAGTAAAATTTCATTTTTTTTTTTGTAATGATGTGGAAAAGCATGTAGAATAGAGTTAAAATCAAGAGAGTATTACATAGGAGTCAGATGACATTATTGCACGTGTATATTCTTATCTTTCAGTATAATTTCATCTACATCCACTTTATAGTAATGTGATTCTATTTAAATGAATTATTAAGTTATTATCACACCAAGACATTGTGGGTAATGTTGAAAATGGCTTATGGGAAAAGCTAGGTAGACGTCAGGTTAAAAAAAAATGTATTAATTACTGAGGAAAATTACCGGTAAATATTTGTTTTGCAGAAACATCAATACTATAATCAGGCACACAATTTCCCAGCCGTCTTCTATCTCCTGTCAACGTTGTTCTTAATAACCCCAAAGATGGATTTTTAAGCACATAGCAATATTCTATTGTAACTTACAAATACTTTGCAAATATTGGACACCAAGTTCAATATTATTGTATCCTTCAGCCCCCTGCATGTTGGTAATAATTATGTAGTTATCTGTGAATGTAGAAAAATCTTTATAGACCTAAAGTGGAACTCAAAAGGCGTAGATTTGCTTTTTATTATAGGGAACATCTAGAGATATCAGTAATGCTAAGATGTACCTTCCTTTTAAAAGACAGCATTGCACTTATTGCTCAATCAGCCTCATTGCTACCTATCACATTGCATCTAAGGCACTGCTGCCAGCAACGGCCAGTATTACAAAATTTAGAGTGTGATTTTTGGTGATGCTTCTACTGTGCTGTTAACTGTTTAGGTTGCTGGAGATGAAGCTGTACCTGAGGACCTGCAGTACAAGGATCTCCCTGCTTCTGCTGCACTAATTCTTTGGATATTCCTGCAACTCTTCAGTTACTTTTTGAATATTCCGGCAACAGTCATCACAGCTGAGTTCAGACACAAGGAAGCAAAGCTCTGCCTCTACACAGATTCCCATCCTCACACAGAGGCACAGTGCAGAACAAGGCATGATAAGTCAGTAATAGGGAAAAGATCAACAGCAGAGAGACCACAAGTAGTAGTGTTGACTAATTGATTGCTCTCTGCTTTCCATTTTTTGCGGGTGCAGTTTACACATTTATGGTTCTCTATAGGGCCTATTGTCAATGTAATATCTCAAACAATGGATATAGATGTTTTATGATGTTAGGTGGCTATATCTTTAATGGAATTTGGAATATGGCTTATATCTTCTGGGCTGAAATTTTATAACAAGAAAAGACATCAGAATGTGCCAGCCAGTATTATTCATTCTAATTGACTGGTACTTTCTGAAGGAATTTCCATGGGAAGCTGTTTGCTTACTTCAATATTAGTCATGGTTTAAAAGAACAAAATATTTGGCTATAATCTATGAAGTATGATGGCCTTTATTATCCTCTATTCTATATTATTATTTCAGCACCATCAACATCTGGACAGAAGAATAAGGAAATTGCTGAAGGAACTGTATATAGAACTTCCCAAGAATCCTGGCCTTTAAGGGATTAGTCTTCATAAAAACTGCTTTCAGTTTTGGAAAATACTGTACAAATGTGAAATTGTTCACACCCTAGCTTGAAAAATCTGTCAAGGGCTCCAATGGCAATAATCCCCTGCTGGAATTCACAGCTTTGTCTTACTCTTATATGAAGTTTCACTTCTCAGTCATAAAATAAAAGAACTCTAGCACAGAGGTAGGGACTTAAGTGATAGTAGCCAGTAACTTTATGTGCAGAGATCAGAATCCCTGAAAGATATACTGTGAGAGAACCAGCTGGTCATACAATAAACCATTATCTATTCATATTGATTCTATTTAGTGGTTCTTAAATATTTGCCAATGCTGACGACTTGAAATCACTTTGAATCTCTTCCCTATCTGTATAACCTGATGGGCAGAGTTCCACAAACCTTAATGTCTGAGCTGAAGTTATTAATTTTGTTACATCCAGCATTTTCCAGGTGGTAGTTAGTCCATCTCAAGAGTAATTCTTCTGGAGAAAGTTTCAGGAGATCCTCCAGGCTTTCTCCTTCTCGTAACAGGGCAATCAAAGCTAAACAGGGAAGAGAATAGAAAACACATTACACAACAGTAGTTGCGCTGTATGAGAATACATTATCAAACGCCTTATTAAGGAATATCAAAACAACCATCATTTAGAAATGGCTTCTGGGTGACAAGCAAAAATAACACTCATATCAGGGCATTCAAAATTATACAGGAAAGAGGATAGAAAACTCATTACACAGTAAGTAAGTATATATTACATTGTCAAACACCTTATTAAGGCATATCAAAATAAGCACCATTCAGAAATGGTTTCTGGGCGACAAGTAAAAATAATGCTCTGGGAAAACTAGGCACAGTGCCAGTCAACATTATTTCCTTTGTAATATGTTTGCTGCAGGGCACAACTTGGAGCCTTTGAAACATGCACACATTTTAGGAAAAGACTTCCAGATTTCAAAAATGTTCATTTACTTGGGCAATGAGGAACCCCCAATGAATCTCATGATGAAATGTGGGACATCTTTCAGTAGGTTTTTGCATGGAAATTTGGAATGTTTTCCTCTGTTCTGATTGACCAAAGACTAGATTTGCATCCTAAAACCCAGTCTGGGGCTCTCAAGAAGCCCTTCCGCAGCATGCGTAAATTTCCCTTGATGGCAATTATATGTAATGGTCAACAGTGGTAAAGGATGAACTTTACAGATGTAAACATTGCATCTACCATGCTACATCTTTTGAAGCTAACTGTAGCCAATTCCTAAAATAAACAACTGCTTGGATAGTATAGTCTTTCATTTCACAGCTTCAAGCTCTATCAGCCCTTTAATAGGATAGAAATATAAAATGATATATATAATTATATATATGGTAAGTGGTAGATTGCTTTGATCCATTGGCTAATATTTACTATTGAAACTAGTTGAAACTGCTATTAGTATGTAGGCAGATGCAGTTTAGCCTCCCTGCACAGGTGGGCAGCCACAATGCAGAAAGGATAGAGGGCAAGAGGAGCTCTAGCTCCTCTGAGGCCTCCATAGGTGTCATCAGGAGAGTAGTTGTCTGATTGGACGCTGATTGGACGCTGCTGCTCTGGATGGTTTCAACAGTGTGTCTAAATAATAGGGAAAGGTTCCAGATGAGGAGGGATAGAGTAGGGACCGCACATCTGTGTCGCCATCCAGGAACACTCTCGCTTACTAGTGCCTTGTTGCCAGACTGGCATGTAGCCACCTCCTTCGTCAGATGTTTCCATGCTGTTTAGAGTATCTTTTCTAATACTGAAGTTCTGCAAAAAGTCTGTGAAGTACTGCTGTTTAGGGTATGACTGTGTTAGACAGACCCTGTTGCCTTTTGGAACGTTTGTTTTAATACGCTTTGCTGCATTCCATGGTCTCTGGTTGCTTTTTTTCCATTTTGAGTACCATACTCCTGGCCCCACCTACAAGTATGGCTACAAAATGCATCAAATGCACATGTTTTTAAACAGAACCAGTTACACAACAATCATGAAAAATGTTGTATTCTACTAATATACTAATACTGTACATATAGTGTTAGCATTCAGTAGCAATCACTTTGTCTTATTTCACGTCTTAATTTATATTTTCTCCATTTTTACATGCAGACCAATCTGGTCAGTAAATGGGTTGGTGGTTAAATTTTTCACACACTATGGGGGTGATTCACTATAACTAGAGACTGCAAAATCTGGTGCAGCTGTTCATGGTAGCCAATTAGCTTCCAACTTCAGCATGTTCAATTAAGCTTTGACAAAAACCTGGAAACTGATTGATTTCTGTGCAGAGTTGCAGCAGATTTTGTACTCTCCAGTTTTTGGAAATCAGCCCCTATAGCACAAGCATATATGCTTACAATAGTTACCTTATTCTCATGGTTTACATATTCCTAAAACAGTTGCTGAAATTGAATGCTTTCGTAACATGTATTAACCACATACAGTTCATGGTGTACAATTTTTCTGATGGCAGTGGTCATACACAGAGCAGATACTGGTCCTGCTAATGGATATAGGTGTCCATTTATGACACAGAGAATAGCTGAGATTCAGAGGATCGCAACTATTCTCTGGTCATTCACAGTTTGACACTCAGGAGAACATGTTCAGAGTTCAGCCCTTCACTGGAGATCTGTGTTCTCCCTCCAGATTCTCCAGCCCAGAGCTGGAAAATCGGAGGGACCGCAAACTAAGCAGCGATAATTTACCTCTGCTTAGTAAACTGATCTTTTACTGTAATGTCGCGAGATTATAGTAAAATCAGCCGTTTTCCAGCGTTTGGAGACCGTTCTCCAGCGTTTGAAGACCATTCTCCCTTCGTTCGGAGAACTGCTTCATAAAAGGCATACACAGGAGAACTGTGTTCCCTGAGAATGCCGGAGAACTGAGCAGTGATCTATTACCGCTGGTTCATAAACGGACACCTAAGGACCTTCTACGGCCTTGTCCAGCTCTCCTAGAGTTATTGCCGGTTTCCTGGAATCTCCTCCATGATCTTGAGATTGTGCTGGAAGAAACAGCAAACCTTCTGGAAATGGCATGTATAGATGTGCCATCCTGGAGGAGTTGGAGTGCCTGTGCAACCTCTGTAGGGCCCAGGTATCGCCTCATGCTACCAGTAGTGACACTGACCCTAGCCAAATGCAAAACTGGTGAAAAACAGTCAGAAAAGATGAGTAAGGAAAAAAATGTCAATAGCCTCCATCTGTAAAACTATTCCTATTTTGGGGGACATCTCATTGTTGCCCATCTAGTGCACCTGTTGTTCATTTCATTAACATCAAAGCAGCTGAAACTGATTAACAACCCCCTCTGCTACTTAACTGACCAGATCAATATCCCAGGAGCTGAACTGACTTGATGCTATACTCTGATTAAAAAGTGTTACTTTCATTGTTTTGAGCCCTGTGTATAAGAGGAATGAAAGTGACTAATGGGCCCTGTTATTGAAAGCTGTTCTTTCTGATTACAAATTGGAATGTACTGTGTTATCAGCAATAGGCAATGGGGCTTCAGGGGATCACTTACTTCTGATTATTAGTTAAGAGGGTCAGACACAGAAAAATGAGTAAACCTAATGGTTAGGCTTGCATGGTTCTAATCATTTTACAGAATATTCTTGCATAAGTTCAGATAAGATGAGCAAGAAATCACCTGCTCTCTAAAGGTTGGGAAGCATTTGCCTTAGATTGTAAGCTCCTTGAGGGCAAGGACTGAGGTGAACGTACTATATATAAAAGAGTTATAAATATATGCCTGTGATAAATAAATGTCTATAATAAATAATGCACCAATCAACTGTTTCTACAGCTGCCTGGTACACCTGCCAAGCTACCTACCTTCCACCAAACATTAATTGAACCATCAATAACACTTAATGCACAAAGTCTTACAACAGCTACAGCAATAAAAAAAAAAGAACTATAACATATCCATACCTTCATTCTTGCTCAGCTCAATGTCAGCAAACAGTCCAATTTTGATAACCTGCCACAGAAGTCCCAGCACCAAGTATGGTTTCCCTTCCTTTAAGTCTTCAGCACCGATGTTTACTACATGACACCCAATAGCGGAGGCTGAATTGAGCGCTAGATTTAAATTTTCCTGTAGGAAAAAGAAAATGGAAAAAATATCTACCAATACACTATAATACCTTGTCACTAAACTTGCAGTTCAGAGACATACAAGGGTTGATTTACTAATGCAAAATAGACTGTGCACTTTGCAGGTGCGGTTGCACTAATTTTCCCCAGAGCTTAGTGAATGTGGTGAAGCTTCACTTTGTAAACAATAGCAAATTAGATACAAGGGAAATATAAACAGCATTTTTGCTTGCACATGATTGGATCATGGAAATCAGAAGAGCTTCACATGCAAAGCGAACAGTATATTTGCCTTTAGTAAATTAACTACCGCTCAGTGTTTGGTATGTTCAACCAATTCAGCTTAAACATGTTGTTAAATAACTTCTGCACTGCGTGGATTGTGGTTTTGGTGGTGGGTGGTGTTACAGAAATGTTTGGATAATGATCCCATTCATGGGAAGATACAATTAAATTATGCCATTGATTTTTACATATTATACTTTTGGTACCCCATCCAGATATTAATTGAGTCAGTTGTTTAGCCATACACTGACCAAATCTTGGCATTGTTAATCTATCTGCAAAAAAATAGTAATTCCATTGTGGTATTAGTTAATGTGCTATTAAACCCAAAACCAAACTTTTAATATATTGCAGCTTTCCATTCCTTAAATACTGCTAAATCCTATTATAAAAACACTTGTTTGGGTAACCACAGACATACAGTATGTAGTGCCTTACAAGGAATATTTATTGAAGCTGTTTAGCTAAACAAAATAACCCACCATACCTTCATTTAATCTACTTAACCATGATAAAATAATAGAAGATTCATAAATGTATATATTTTATTTTTTCAAAGGAAGAGAATAGTGGTTTTGTATATATTTTCTTTCTAAATTTTAAGTCAGGTGTATGAAATATTGCATTTTAAAGCTTAGCTAAAGCCAATAACAAGTATTTATAATAGCGCAGCTTATCAATTCTTAAATTGAGGGTTTTTTTTTTTAGGGTTTTTTCTTTTATATTCATCTAGTGATCCTGCCAATAATACACTTCCTGTCTTAGGGCAGTTCCATTCTGAAGGGGCAACCCTTGGACAGCAGCATTTTCAACTTGTGGAGAGGGTAATGTTAGATACACTGCCAGATTTAGATGGATTTGACTAACAAATTAAAGTTGAACTCCGGTTAACACTTTTATGCAGTTGCAGAAACAGTTTTTTTTTTCCCTTATGGGGTAAAGGTTTTACATAAATGTATAAAAACTGCCCATTGTAATAACCCATGTTAGTGTTAAATAGTTTGCTCATTCCATAACTGACACTTTTGCTGGACAGCTTGGTCTGTTAACCTCCCTGGCGGTATGATTATTTCAGATTTTTGGTGCTGAAAGCGGTACCATTATTTTGCATGGAAATATGTAGTTTTTTTTATTGTAGGCTGTAATATTTAGGAATAACTCACTGAAATCTGTCCGAACAAGAGTCTATTAAACATCCCGGGTATGATAAAATTTGAAACACAAAATCATAAATTATAATTTAATAAATAATTATAAAAAATAATAATATAATAATAATACATTTAATTCAATAATATAATCAAACCAAAAACACTGAAATTTGAAATATAGCGCCATAATAAGTTCGCACATTGCTGAGCAAAGTCGCAAAATCGTTTTCAGTGTCTGATGACGAATTTCCCCACAAATCATTATCACTCAATTCTGCAAGTGGTTCTGATTTACTATCGCTGTTCTCTAGCTGATCTAAACCGCTTTTGACCTAAAGGGACACTTTTTGGACGCCATGGACGTTTCTCAGTTTCCAGGCAGAAAGAACAGACAAAATGCAGGCGGGGCGCAGGACAAAGCACTAGGGACAAAATGTATGTGAAATTGGTTGAGACAGCAATGTTTTACTATGTAAAATGTAAAAAAAAAAAAATGACATTATTTAAAATTTTTAAATTTCCCGCCGCCGCCGGCGCCCGTACGTCCCGACGTCACAGGGACAGGACACAGAAGCCGGATGCTGGCATCGGCCGAAGGAGATGGCCGGGGACACTGCAGGGGACACATCGCGGGAGCGCAGGGCAAGGTAAGTGAAGAACAAATGCCGGAGCAGTGCCGCATGGTATTCCCGAGTGTAGCTCGGGGTTACCGCTCTTGGTACTGAAATGTTACCTCGAGCTACACTCGGGAATACCGCCAAGGAGGTTAAGGAAAGTTAAAAAAATACCAGATTGACTGCCCAAATTAACTTGTGCAAATAATGGAAAAAAAGCCTAAAAAACGTAAACTAATGCAGCCACCAAATTTAAAGTGGAATTCCAGGCTATTGCTAACTATGCTTAATCTTGCTCCCACTCCCCTTCTAAATGCTATTCTAACTACCGTATAAAAGGAAGATGCTTATACTTATCTGTTCTCAGGGCACTCTGGTCCGGTCATGTGATCGTCTCCTAGTGGCAGCTTCAAGGGAGAGGAGGGACAGCCAACAACGGATACGCCCCAGTACGTCTATGGGTGACACCACCACCCAAGCATTCCAACCGTTATCGCCAATCTGCCTTCTGCCCTGAAGCCAGTGCTGGGGAGATCATTAGCAACTTTCTTTCACATGGTAGTTAGAATAAGATATAGAAAGGGGTGGGAGTAGGTTTAAGCATACAGTAGTTATCATTAGCCTGGAATTCCACTTGGAGTACTACTGTAATATAATACATTTAGGCTTTTGGGTTTAATACCATTGTGTGTACTGTATGTGCTTGAGTCTAACCCATAGTCCTTTTTATTGTTTTGATCAAAATTGCTGTGTGTTGTCATGTATAGGTGCACCCCTATGCGCATATACAGTAGAAATGCACCACAACACAGATGTGAAAGGTTTGTTTGTTGTGATGCATCACATTTCTAAAAAAAATAAGTGCAGACTGAATGGGCTGGCTTAAAATAATGCAACTCAATGTATGAAAATGTGTACATTCAAACACATGCATTAATGTGTTCAAACACGTGAGGGGGCCCTTAAGGTTTTGTTCATTTGGAAAGGAGTTCATAGCAAAAAATAATTAAAATGACTTTGTACCTGGATAGTGAAAGGAGTTAACTTCTTCTTGTTGATTGCTCTTTCATCAATGGTATCCGGCACAGAGAGATTGATCATTTTACTAAATAAACAAAGTTATTATTTTACCTTTATGCTAGCATTTGCTTTCCAGCTATGTGAATTTTTTTTTAACTGGCCATGCCACACTCAAGATCTGGTCAAACAGATAATATATTTTAAAATATGCATAATATTTATTGTGGTATGCGGCCAGAATACATTAAATATTACTTACGTAAAAATCAACAGACATAAAATCAACAGACATTGTTTTTTAACCACTTGAAGACCAATTATTTCTGGCACTTTTTGTTTAAATGTAACAATCATTATTTTTTGCTAGAACATTCTTAGAATCACCAAACATTATATATTTTTAAAGCAGAAGCCCTAGAAAATAAATTGGTGGGTGTTGTAATTTTTTTTATGTCACACGGTGTTTGCACAGCAGTTTTTTAAATGCATTTATGAACCAAGATTGGTGTGATCAAATGCTTTTCTTTTTTTTAAAATGGCTCTGTTAATATCCAGGTAAACCAGAAGTGATGTAAGGAAATAGCTTCTGGTTCCCTATATCATAGAGCCAAACAGAGCTGTTCCACTCTTTGTTCGGCTCTACAATCAGCTGGCAGAAGCGCCGGTTGGTCAAGCAGGTGTCCTGGTGGGATTGGACAGCCTGTTAAAGCCGTGGAAGGCAGCTGGGGGGGGTGCCATCCCGCTGCTTGTAATAGCGATCCAGCTGCTAGTTAGCAACTTATGATTGCTATTACAAGAGAGATATCAGTTGGCTCTAAAAAACAGTACAGGCATAATCTCAATACAACCACTTAATGCCAAATGATGTACATGTAAGTGGTTTGGCATCAAGCTGAACTCCAATTATTACTTGGTGATCAAGCTGTATTTTGCTAATTTGGTTGAATGCAATTACAAATCCTTTGGCAAGTAATAATTTAAATATCTGAATATTTTTTTTAAACCCCCACAGCGTGTCAGATTTGTTGCCTGGAGTTAAGTTTCAAATATATGCATAAGCGTCATTTGCTAATAAGCAAAATATCTGATACACTAAACCAGATATATTGTATATAGAAATCATTTCCAAGTCAGTGCCCACCGGTACTTTTTACAGAGAATTTCATGAGCCATGCCGGTTTCACAAAGTTCTTTATGGCCTTCATCTGTATATGAGCTTACAGTTGGTGTCCAAAATTTATCAGCCCCCACTGAAGCATGGAGTTCTCAGGCCAGTATATAGAATCATTTGAAGTCAGTGCCCACCATTCTCTTGCCCCTACTTTTATACAATTTTGAGCCATGCCAGTTCCAAAGTTCTTTATTTCCTTCATCTGTATATGAGCTTATATGCTAAATGTATTTCTGAGTGTAAGATGTCCAGCACTGAAGGCTTCACAGCACTATTTTTTTTAAGGTTAGCTCTTGTATGCACATCAAATAGGAATTCAGCATTGATGTTTCAATCCTTATCAGGCTCTTTTTTAAGATAGGAGTACATTTGGTGTGAAGCCCTTGAAGACATCTTGCTCAGGAAAAACTGCTGCTTCCAGTTGATGATGGATTGATGACTATTGCAAAGGCACTTTTTTATAGACCAGCTTTTATGGATCTAAAAACTTTCCGTTACAGCAGCGTGGATCCAATAATTTTTTTTCTAAACCTGCATTGCATTTTAGAATGATAGTTTATATGTGAATAGAGTCAAGATAATTTAGTCAGAACTTACCAAAGGACAATTCCATCACCAACAGCTTTGAACAGATCGTCAGTGTCTGGGTTCATGGGAATGACATGTTTGCAGTCTGGGTCCTTTTCCAAAGCCTTATTAATCCAGTTTACAAAGGCATACTTCTCTTCCTCTGTCAGAGGAGAATATATTGAATAATCTAAATCTGATGACCTTCTGCAGTTTAAAAGTCTCATTGAAGAATGCTAATATACTAATATCAATTATAACCAGTGGTTAAGTCACAGGTTTTCAACCAAGAGTTAGGGGTACATGTCTTCCAAGTGTTACTGCTGGTTGATTCATAGGGTACTTATGTTTATAGTTATTTTAGCAAGACAATATGTACAAAACATTTTTGGTGAAAAGTACACCTTGGAGGAGATTTACAAAAACCGATGCACACACTATCTGGTGCAGCTGTGCATAGTGAACCAATCAGCTTCTAACTTTAACTTGTTCAATTAAGCTTTGAAAATAAAACCTAGAAGCTGACTGGTTACTATGCACAATTGCACCAGATTCTGTGTGCACCAGCTTTAGTTTATCTCCCCCATATAGTAGTAGTACAGTGCAGAAGTAATACAAGAACAATATAGTAATCGCGTTTTCCCAATAAATATATTTGTTGAAAGTTAGAGAAAAATACAATGAATGTCACATTTGTATGGTTAAAAAATCATCCCTTCCCATTAAATATGTTTGTGATTGTCAGTTAATGGTGCTTAATTTACTGACTGTGGGGGTGGACCTTTTCCCTAAATATGTTTAATAAATGATGAATGTAACTGTGAATGACACAGTCACCACTTTATCATTATGCCTCATAATGATTATCTGAAGTGTGCTCTAAACTCAAAAGCAGAGACATGATAAAAAAAACTGATATTATTATAATCTCAAATGTTAATAAGAAAGCTAATTTATTCATCTGAGCCTCTGCCTAAAATATTTACAATGTGAAACAGCATATTTAAACAATCTGAAATGACATTATTCTGCCATGAAAAACAAATGATTTTAAAGCGATACTAAAGGTTCATTGTTTTTGTAAAATAACAAACATGTCTTTACTTACCTGCTGTGTGCAGTGGTTTTGCACAGAGCAGCCTGCATCCTCCTCTTCTCGCGTCTCAAGCAGGCTCTTCTGGCTCCTCCTTTCTGTCGGGTGCCCCCATAGCAAGCAGCTTGCTATGGGGGCACCCGCTGCTCCGTGTGTCCATTCACACAAGGAGTTGTGGCTTGGCCCCGTCACCTCTCTCTCTCTTCATTGGCTGACTGGCGTTGATTGACAGTAGCAGGTGCCAATGGATCCCGCTTGCTGTTTCAGGCAGAGACCTGGGACAGCTAATGTTGTCATGTACATCACTGGATCTCGATGGGGCTCATTGAGTATTGAGGGGGTTGTGGGGAGCTGCTGCACACAGAAGGTTTTTTGCCTTCATGCATAGAATGTATGAAGGTAAAAAAACCTTGAGCCTTTACAATCACCTAGGCATAAAAAGGTTGTCTCTAGGTTGCAGGAATGAGAATAATGTCATTGTAGATTGTACAGAGTTTATACCTTTCAAGCAGCCAGATCCTGTCTGGGAAACATGTAACAGGAAAATGGACAAATGGGAAGAGGTCCTTAAAGAGGTAGTATACTGCCCCCCCAAAATTCTAAAAAATCTTCTCCCTGCAAGTTAAGAGCATAATGTGCTAGTATACATTGCATACTAGCACATTATGAAAGAACTACATGAAAATGAAGCCCTCCAGCGGTTGTCACGGCTCCCCAAAGCTTCCATCTTTACTCGGTCTTCCTTCCAGGTTGGCAAGCTGTCCCCATATGATTGGCCTAGCCACAATGTCATCACTCCTGTGCATGCGTGAAGGGAGTTTCGCCCATGGCACGGCTCTCTCAATGGACAGCATGCTGTCCATTGAGAGTGCAGTGCGCCTACACTGGTGACATCACTGGTGCTTCTACAGTAAATATCTCCTAAATGGTGCACATTTAGGAGATATTTACAGTACCTACAGGTAAGCCTTAATACAGGCTTACCTGTAGATAAAACGTACCAAAGTGGGTTTACTACCACTTTAAATGCCACTAAAAGTTAAAAGTTCAGAACAGAAGTGTTAATCACCAGATCCTCTTACCTGAATAAGAATGCTGGGTGCCTGCACTGGACTGTTCAGAGGTGCCGCCAATTGCACAAATGCCTTCCTTCTTATTAATGGCTTTTCTGAATGTTTTGGCAACTTCTGAGCTTTTAAGGTTATGAAAAACCTAAAAATATAAAAACAGCAAATAGTAAAGAAGAAAATTTAAAATCAGTACATTTATGAAATGTTTAAATAGTGCCTAAAATTAGCAAAATGTTCATTCAAGTAACTTGCATATATTCAGGATTGCAAGATAATGATAATTAATCTGGAAAAGAAACTGAAAGAGTATTTCCACTTTTGCAATCAAATTTGAGAAAACACCATATATGTTTGTTATGTGTTCCCATTCACACAGTATACCGACTTTTTAAAAAAATTATTTCTTACTTTTTAGATGTTTCTAAGGAGAAGGTGTCATGGCTGATTCAAAGAATTTCTACACAATCTCTCCATGTTTTTATCCCCATGCAAAGTGAGCTATCCCTCATTAACACACAATGCAGGAGGGTGGTTTCTACATTTTTTAACCCTTTATTAAAACAGACAGTGTCCAAATCTAGTTTACAGCTGACATTGAAGAACTGTGAACACAGTACAGAGAGTTTTAATTATGTTACATAGTTAGTTTGGCTGAAAAAAGACAAAAATCCATCCAGTTCAACCATAAAAAAAAAAAAAAAACACTATTTTTCAACAACACTGTTATGCTATGTTAATGGGTACATTTAACACATTTAAAGTAGGTGTTATCCAAATTTGGCTGCAAAAGTGAAAATACAGAAGTTTGTTTTGAAGTTCATATTGCCACTGTGTTCTGAATAAACTTACTGAAATAAACTCATCAAAGCTGATCTTTCCATCTCTGTTCTGATCTCCTGTCTCCATGAGACTTTGGGTGATTTCTCGCACTTTATATCCAGGTACAGGCAAACTAGCAGCTTTTGAACAGGTCATTTAACTCATTTGGACTTATGAATCCATTTCCATCAGTATCTAAAAGAGACAGAAATCAGAGTAAAAAAAAAAACAGTACATTCACGTAGAGCCATATCAGGGACTTATCAGGATACCTTGTACCTGTATTTAAAATTAAAGAAGCTAACAATCCCAAATAAATATGTTAGGAATGGCTTTTCACATATTTTCCTTAAAACTCTGAGGTTTGGAGCATGATTATGCCATTTTGGATAAGTGTGAAAGGAAAAAAGGGTCTTAGAATATCTTGGATGAAATAGGAATGCAGGATAGTTTGGCCTTCCTCAGTCCTTACCTTTGGACTTACATGCAAACCTCCTGCTATATCCTTTCTTGATGTTAATCTCTCACAATGAATAAAAGGGGAACCATTCATATTACAATCTGATTGTATAAACTTTGGAAATCTTTAAATTTTCCAAAACTCTGTATTATGAGGACAAATTTAATTTGTACCCAAACATGCAGGCCCTTACAGTACACAGTTGTCAGCAGTTCTTTGTACAATCAAGTTGTAGAGTGTATGGTGAGCTTAAGGACTGAATAATGACATGTAGTACACTCTTTATTAGGTATATTACATCAGGAATTCTGTTATTGTCATGTGAACTGTTAGGAAAAGTCTGATTCTGTGAATTTGTTTTTAAAACCTAACATTTTTTATTGAATTATCAAAAGTATAATACATTTATATCAATAAACCATTTATACAAAAACCAAGAGACTGATTGTTTTAATTACACATATATGGTTCCTAATAAACATATTCAACACAACCCTTTCAAGCCGTTATTATATATTGTATATTATACTCTACCCTGTTATTTATATATTGTATATTATACTCTACCCTGATATTATTATATATTGTATATTATACTCTACCCTGATGTTTATTATATATTGTATGTTTATACTCTACCCTGATGTTTATTATATATTGTATATTATACTCTACCCTGATGTTATTAAATATTTTATATTATACTCTACCCTGTTATTATATATTGTATATTATACTCTACCCTGATATTATTACATATTGTATATTATACTCTACCCTGATGTTATTATATATTGTATATTATACTCTACCCTGTTATTATATATTGTATATTATACTATACCCTGATATTATTACATATTGTATATTATACTCTACCCTGATATTATTATATATTGTATATTATACTCTACCCTGATGTTATTAAATATTGTATATATTGTTTATTATATATTATACTCTATACCCTGATATTATTATATATTGTATATTATACTCTACCCTGATGTTTATTATATATTGTATTATACTGTTACCCTGATATTATTACAATAATTATATTACCCCTGATGTTATATATATATTGTATTCTTATACTCTACCCTGATGTTATTATATATTGTATTGTTATACTCTACCCTGATGTTATTATATATTGTATGTTATACATATTGTATATTATACTCTACCCTGATTTATTATATATTGTATATTATACTCTACCCTGATGTTATTAATATTGTATATTATACTCTACCCTGTTATTATATTTTTATATTATACTCTACCCTGATGTTATTACATATTGTATATTATACTCTATCCTGATGTTATTATATATGTATATTATACTCTACCCTGATGTTATTATATATTGTATATTATTGTGTTATTATATATTGTATATTATATACTCTACCCTGATGTTATTATATATTGTATATTATACTCTACCCTGATGTTATTATATATTGTATATTTATATACTCTACCCTGATGTTATTATATATTGTATATTATACTCTACCCTGATGTTATTATATATTGTATATTTATACTCTACCCTGATGTTATTATATATTGTATATTATACTCTACCCTGTTATTATATATTGTATATTATACTCTACCCTGATATTATTACATATTGTATATATACTCTACCCTGATGTTATTATATATTGTATATTATACTCTACCCTGATGTTATTATATATTGTATATTATACTCTACCCTGATGTTATTATATATTGTATATTATACTCTACCCTGATGTTATTATATATTGTATATTATACTCTACCCTGATGTTATTTTTTATATATTGTATATTATACTCTACCCTGATGTTATTATAATATTGTATTATATATTATACTCTACCCTGATGTTATTATATATTGTATATTATACTCTACCCTGATTTTATTATATATTGTATTTTTTATACTCTACCCTGATTTTATTATATATTGTATTTATACTCTACCCTGATGTTATTATATATTGTATATTATACTCTACCCTGATGTTATTATATATTTATTTTATACTCTACCCTGATGTTATTATATATTGTATTATTATTTACTCTACCCTGATGTTATTTATATTTATTATATTGTATATTATTTTACTCTACCCTGATGTTATTAAATATTGTATATTATTCTTACCCTGTTATTATTTATTGTATATTATACTCTACCCTGATTTATTATATATTGTATATTATACTCTACCCTGATGTTATTATATATTGTATATTATACTCTACCCTGATGTTATTATATATTGTATGTTATACTCTACCCTGATGTTATTATATATTGTTTGTTATTTACTCTACCCTGATATTATTACATATTGTATATTATACTCTACCCTGATTATTATTATATATTGTATGTTATACTCTACCCTGATGTTATTATATATTGTATATTATACTCTACCCTGATGTTATTAATATTGTATATTATACTCTACCCTGATTGTTATTATATATTGTATATTATACTCTACCCTGATATTATTTACATTTTGTATATTATACTCTATTTTGATGTTATTATATATTGTATGTTATATTATACCTGATGTTATTATATATTGTATATTATACTCTACCCTGATTATTATATATTGTATGTTATACTCTACCCTGATGTTATTATATATTTATATTATACTCTACCCTGATGTTATTATATATTGTATATTATACTCTACCCTGATGTTATTATATATTGTTATTTATACTCTACCCTGATTATTTATATATTGTATATTTATACTCTACCCTGATGTTATTATATATTGTATGTTATACTTATACTCTACCCTGATGTTATTATATATTGTATATTATACTCTACCCTGATATTATTAATATTGTATATTTATACTCTACCCTGATGTTATTATATATTGTATGTTTATACTCTACCCTGATGTTATTATATATTGTATATTATACTCTACCCTGATGTTATTATATTGTATATTATACTCTATTATATTATATATTGTATATTATACTCTATGATATTATTATATATTGTATATTATACTCTACCCTGATGTTATTATATATTGTATGTTATACTCTACCCTGATGTTATTTATATATTGTATATTATACTCTACCCTGATGTTATTATATTTGTATATTATACTCTACCCTGATGTTATTATATATTATTTATATTATACTCTACCCTGATGTTATTATATATTGTATATTATACTCTACCCTGATGTTATTAATATTGTATATTATATTCTACCCTGTTATTATATATTGTATATTATACTCTACCCTGATTTATTATATATTGTATATTATACTCTACCCTGATGTTATTATATATTGTATATTATACTACCCTGATGTTATTATATATTGTATATTATACTCTACCCTGATTTATTATTATATATTGTATATTATACTCTACCCTGATGTTATTAAATTGTTGTTATTATACTCTACCCTGTTATATATATTTGTATATTATACTCTACCCTGATATTATTTACATATTGTATATTATACTTATTCTGTATATTGTATGTTATACTCTACCCTGATGTTATTATATATTGTATATTATACTCTACCCTGATGTTTATTATATATTATATTGTTATACTCTACCCTGATGTTATTATATATATTGTATATTATACTCTACCCTGATGTTATTAAATATTGTATATTATACTCTACCCTGTTATTATATATTGTATATTATACTCTACCCTGATGTTATTAATATTGTATATTATACTCTACCCTGTGTTATATATATTGTATATTATTTATACTCTACCCTGATGTTATTACATATTGTATATTATACTCTATCCTGATGTTAATATATATTGTATGTTATACTCTACCCTGATGTTATTATATATTGTATATTATACTCTACCCTGATGTTATTATATATTGTATGTTATACTCTACCCTGATGTTATGATATATTGTATATTATACTCTACCCTGATGTTATTATATATTGTATATTATACTCTGCCCTGATGTTATTATATATTGTATATTATACTCTACCCTGATGTTATTATATATTATATGTTATACTCTACCCTGATGTTATTATATATTGTATATTATTCTCTACCCTGATGTTATTATATATTATATATTATACTCTACCCTGATGTTATTATATATTGTATATTATACTCTACGCTGGTGTTATTATATTTTGTATATTATACTCTATCCTGATTACCCCTGGGTGGGTTCAGACTGTAAACAGGGTATGATAATAAAATTATTGAAGGACCACGATTAAGAAAGATAAGGAATGATGCTCCTAACCTGTCCAATGTCATTATTGGACTAAACACACAAGATCATTATGACTTAAGGTTAGTGCATAAGAACAACACCATATCAAAATTTAAGAAAAATTGGCAAAATTGGATTGCTCACCCTAAAACCTCTAATTATTTAAAGGAATTTAACTATTGCTAATGCTTAAAGATTGAATTTGTATCACTAAGAACTGTTCTATTAACACTGATTGTGTGATTTAGTAGACCTCCTTGCTTAGTATGGTGCAAAAACATATTTGAGAAAGTCTACTGGTATGGCCTAGTTCAGTATCTATGGAGGAAAAGCATGTGAAGCTCTGCAATTACATTTAAAAAAAATCCTATGTATATTGTTAAAGGGATTTTTGTTGTTGTTGTTGCTTTTAATAACACAATGGTATACTGTTAGCTAGGTTAATTGATAAGTTTATATTAAAATAGCTTACCAACTTTGCTGAATGCGTCTCTCAGCTCCTCCATTTCTTCTTCTGTAATAGGCCGAGACTCCATGTTTCACTTTTGTTCTGTTCAGCTATATGTAAAAAAAATGGCATTGAGATTTTCCTTATGTTCAGAAATGTGTAAGGCCATTCAAAACAACTCATCTCACCTTGTAGAAATTCTGTATGTCATTAAAGATTAACAGATTTTTGTAATTAAAGTAGAACTGCACTGCATCTGAATACCACAAACCAAAAATGCTATTTACTTCATTGTTAATATTCAAAGCAAACTCCTCCACCCATCCATGTCTCCATGCTTTATTTTGCTGATAAATAATTTTGAAAAAACACCCCCTGGCATTTCTGGCAGTGGCCACCTTGAGTAAGGGCAGATGAATCATGTAGCATTTACTTCTTGGAATCCATCTTCCCTTAGCTCAGGCATTGTCTGAGCTGAGAAACCTCCCTCTCCGCCTAAAGACTGCTGGAATGTATGGCATCATTTGCCTAGGCATGAAAACCAGGAAGTAACTGAAGAAATGTTAAAAAAAAAGTTTAAAACAAGAATTTATGGTATACTTTCCTATCCATTTACTAATGCTAGCAATATAAGGATTAAAAATAGTTCATGTTAATTAAGAGAGTGAAGTTCCACTTTAAGGTATATGTGAACCCTTACCTTGTAAAACAGGGGTGTCAAACTGGTGGCCCTCCAGCTGTTGCAAAACTACAATTCCCATCATGCCTCTGCCTTTGGGAGTCATGCTTGTAGCTGTCAATCCTGCAATGCCTCATGGGACTTATAGTTTGGCAAAAACTGAAGGGCCGCCAGTTTGACACCCGTGTTGTAAAACAACCCATTCGGTTTAAAAAAGGCAAAACATTTGTTTGTGTGCGTGTGTGTATATATATATATATATATATATATATATATATATATATATATATATATATATACACAGAGGATATAAAAAGTCTACACACCCCTGTCAAAATGTCAGGTTTCTGTGATGTAAAAAAATGAGACAAAGATAAATAATTTCAGAACTTTTTCCACCTTTAATGTGACTTATAAACTGTACAACTCAATTGAAAAACAAACTGAACAATTTTAGGCGCTGAAGTAAACATAAAAAACTAAAATAATGTGGTTGCATAATTGTGCACACCCTTAAATTAATATATTTGCCCACTCTTCCTTGCAAAAACACTCCAAATCTGTCAGATTGCGAGGGCATCTCCTGTGCACAACACTCTTCAGATCACCCCCACAGATTTTCGATCGGATTCATGTTAGGCTAAGGAATATACTGTATTTTTCGCTCCATAAGAAGCACTTTTTTCCCCCAAAAAAAGCGGGGGGGAAATGTCAGTGCGTCTTATGGAGCGAATATGGAGTGACCGGCCCGGTGTCAGAATACCGGGTCAGCCACTCAGCACTGCAGCAGGACCTTACCTGTTCCTCGGTCCAGCGCTGCGCACTCTTCCCACGCTGGCTTCTTTAGTGTGGGCTCTCGGCTTGCTTGACAGCTGGGTGCCCAGTGCACATGCACAAAAAGCACTGCGCTTTGTGAATGGTACGACGTCTTCTGGGACACATGACAGATCACACTAAAGGGAGGACAACTCCACGGAAGTGGGAGCGGGTACCTGTCAAATTCAGGTACCCGCTCCCCCTCCCACCCCAAAGATCAGCAGTCTCTTAGTCATCTCCTGTACTGTCTGCAGTCTCTGGTCATCTCCTGTACTGTCTGCAGTCTCTGGTCATCTCCTGTACTGTCCGCAGTCTCTGGTCATCTCCTGTACTGTCCGCAGTCTCTGTTCATCTCCTGTACTGTCCGCAGTCTCTGGTCATCCCCTGTACTGTCCGCAGTCTCTGTCATCATCCCCTGTACTGTCTGCAGTCTCTGGTCATCTCCTGTACTGTCCGCAGTCTCTGTTCATCCCCTGCACTGTCCGCAGTCTCTGGTCATCTCCTGTACTGTCCGCAGTCTCTGGTCATCTCCTGTACTGTCCGCAGTCTCTGGTCATCTCCTGTACTGTCCGCAGACTTTTGGTCATCCCCTGCACTGTCCGCAGTCTCTGGTCATCCCCTGCACTGTCCGCAGTCTCTGGTCATCCCTATACTGTCCGCAGTCTCTGGTCATCCCCTGTACTGTCTGCAGTCTCTGGTCATCCCCTGTACTGTCCGCAGTCTCTGGTCATCCCCTGTATTGTCCGCAGTCTCTGGTCATCCCCTGTACTACTGTCCGCAGTCTCTGGTCATCTCCTGTACTGTCTCCGCAGTCTCTGGTCATCCCCTGTACTGTCCGCAGTCTCTGGTCATCCCCTGTACTGTCTGCAGTCTCTGGTCATCCCCTGTACTGTCCGCAGTCTCTGGTCATCTCCTGTACTGTCCGCAGTCTCTGGTCATCCCCTGTACTGTCTGCAGTCTCTGGTCATCCCCTGTACTGTGTCCGCAGTCTCTGGTCATCATCCCTGTACTGTCTGCAGTCTCTGGTCATCCCCTGTACTGTCCACAGTCTCTGGTCATCCCCTGTACTGTCCGCAGTCTCTGGTCATCTCCTGTACTGTGTCCGCAGTCTCTGGTCATCTCTTGTACTGTGTCCACAGTCTCTGGTCATCTCCTGCACTGTGTCCGCAGTCTCTGGTCATCTCCTGCACTGTGTCCGCAGTCTCTGGTCATCTCCTGCTGTGTCCGCAGTCTCTGGTCATCTCCTGTTCTGTGTCCGCAGTCTCTGGTCATCTCCTGTACTGTGTCCGCAGTCTCTGGTCATCTCCTGTAGTATGTCTGCAGTCTCTGGTCATCTCTTGTAGTATGTCTGCAGTCTCTGGTCATCTCCTGTACTGTCCGCAGTCTCTGGTCATCCCCTGTACTGTCCACAGTCTCTGGTCATCCCCTATACTGTCTACAGTCTCTTGGTCATCCCCTATACTGTCTGCAGTCTCTGGTCATCCCCTGTACTGTTCGCAGTCTCTGGTCATCCCCTGTACTTTCCGCAGTCTCTGGTCATCTCCTGTACTGTGTCCGCAGTCTCTGGTCATCTCCTTTACTGTGTCCGCAGTCTCTGGTCACCTCCTGTACTGTGTCTGCAGTCTCTGGTCACCTCCTGTACTGTGTCCGCAGTCTCTGGTCATCTCCTGTACTGTGTCTGCAGTCTCTGGTCATCTCCTGTACTGTCTCCACAGTCTCTGGTCATCTCCTGTAGTATGTCTGCAGTCTCTGGTCATCTCCTGTACTATGTCCACAGTCTCTGGTCATCTACTGTACTATGTCTGCAGTTTCTGGTCACCTCCTGTACTGTGTCTGCAGTCTCTGGTCACCTCCTGTACTGTGTCCGCAGTCTCTGGTCATCTCTTGTACTTTGTCTGCAGTCTCTGGTCATCTCATGTACTGTGTCCGCAGTCTCTGGTCATCTCTTGTAGTATGTCTGCAGTCTCTGGTCATCTCTTGTAGTATGTCTGCAGTCTCTGGTCATCTCCTGTACTGTCCGCAGTCTCTGGTCATCCCCTGTACTGTCCACAGTCTCTGGTCATCCCCTATACTGTCTGCAGTCTCTTGGTCATCCCCTATACTGTCTGCAGTCTCTGGTCATCCCCTGTTCTGTTCGCAGTCTCTGGTCATCCCCTGTACTTTCTGCAGTCTCTGGTCATCTCCTGTACTGTGTCCGCAGTCTCTGGTCATCTCCTTTACTGTGTCCGCAGTCTCTGGTCACCTCCTGTACTGTGTCTGCAGTCTCTGGTCACCTCCTGTACTGTGTCCGCAGTCTCTGGTCATCTCCTGTACTGTGTCTGCAGTCTCTGGTCATCTCCTGTACTGTCTCCGCAGTCTCTGGTCATCTCCTGTAGTATGTCTGCAGTCTCTGGTCATCTCCTGTACTATGTCCGCAGTCTCTGGTCATCTACTGTACTATGTCTGCAGTTTCTGGTCACCTCCTGTACTGTGTCTGCAGTCTCTGGTCACCTCCTGTACTGTGTCCGCAGTCTCTGGTCACCTCCTGTACTGGGTCCGCAGTCTCTGGTCATCTCTTGTACTATGTCTGCAGTCTCTGGTCATCTCCTGTACTATGTCTGCAGTCTCTGGTCATCTCCTGTACTATGTCCGCAGTCTCTGGTCATCTACTGTACTATGTCTGCAGTTTCTGGTCACCCCTGTACTGTGTCTGCAGTCTCTGGTCACCTCCTGTACTGTGTCCGCAGTCTCTGGTCATCTCTTGTACTGTGTCTGCAGTCTCTGGTCATCTCATGTACTGTGTCCGCAGTCTCTGGTCATCTCTTGTACTATGTCTGCAGTCTCTGGTCATCTCTGTAGTATGTCTGCAGTCTCTGGTCATCTCCTGTACTGTCCGCAGTCTCTGGTCATCCCCTGTACTGTGTCACAGTCTCTGGTCATCCCCTGTACTGTGTCCGCAGTCTCTGGTCATCCCCTGTACTGTCTGCAGTCTCTGGTCATCCCCTGTTCTGTTCGCAGTCTCTGGTCATCCCCTGTACTTTCTGCAGTCTCTGGTCATCTCCTGTACTGTGTCCGCAGTCTCTGGTCATCTCCTGTACTGTGTCCGCAGTCTCTGGTCACCTCCTGTACTGTGTCTGCAGTCTCTGGTCACCTCCTGTACTGTGTCCGCAGTCTCTGGTCATCTCCTGTACTGTGTCTGCAGTCTCTGGTCATCTCCTGTACTGTGTCCGCAGTCTCTGGTCATCTCCTGTACTATGTCTGCAGTCTCTGGTCATCTCCTGTACTATGTCTGCAGTCTCTGGTCATCTCCTGTACTACGTCTGCAGTCTCTGGTCATCTCCTGTACTGTGTCCGCAGTCTCTGGTCATCTACTGTACTATGTCTGCAGTTTCTGGTCACCTCCTGTACTGTGTCTGCAGTCTCTGGTCACCTCCTGTACTGTGTCCGCAGTCTCTGGTCATCTCTTGTACTTTGTCTGCAGTCTCTGGTCATCTCCTGTACTGTGTCCGCAGTCTCTGGTCATCTCCTGTAGTATGTCTGCAGTCTCTGGTCATCCCTTGTAGTATGTCTGCAGTCTCTGGTCATCTCCTGTACTGTCCGCAGTCTCTGGTCAT